AGAAAGGTTTGAGTAAAATACCCCAAATTTATATTGTTTGTCTTTCTCCCAGCTTTCCTTGAATGACTATAACCTATTATCAGGGTAATTGTGCTTTTTAAAAAAGAATACATGACCATAGTCTTTGGGAATTATTAGACCCCAGCTCTGAGTACAGCCTAATCCCAACAGACCAAATATGCCAGCATAATTTACCCATAAGATTTGGGGCTTAAGGAAGTCAAGTGAGCAAGGAGTTTCAGCTCAACTCCTTCTCAGAATGGGGCCGGTGTGTCCCTCAATCCATCTGGTGGTCATTTTCCCTGTTCTAGAATACATAACTGGAATAGACATATTCGACAACGAGAACAATCCCAAAATTTGTTCCATGACTTGTCAGTGAGGGCAGTTATCATGGGAAAGGCAAGTGGAAGCCACTAGAATTACTTCTTCCTAGGAAAACGGTAAGCCTTAAATAATAGCCATCTCTGGGGGAATGCAGAGATAAATGCCTCCAGCTACCACTTAAAAGTTGCAGGGGCAGAGATTCTGTTCAGAGATGATTATGGTTAGGAAAGCACACGTCTGGGTATCTGTGAGGACTTTTCCAGAGAGGATGGAGAGGTGAGAGTGAAAGAGAGAGGCAAAGGACCTGCCCTAAATGTCGGTGACACCATCCAATGGGTAGGTAGGGTCTGGATGGAATCAAAGTAGGGAAACAAGACACCCATGTGTACACAAAGTCTGCTGTTCCTGAGCAAGGATTTCTGTTGCTGCTGCCATCACTGGTGGACATCAAATTCCAGCTTCTTCAGCTCTTCAGTGGGAGACTAACCAGTGGCTCCCAGGGAGCTTCAAGGCCTTCAGCCTTGACCTTGGTCATTGGTCCTCCTTGTTCTGAGGTGTCTAGCTTCTTCGACTGAGCAACTAGCAGGTCCTCTGGCTCTTCAGAATGAAGATGCAGACAGCTATTGTTGGATTACCCAGCCTCCAGTTATAACCCTATCTAATAAATCTCCTTCTACAATTACATGGAATTCATAACTATACATACATAATATATAACTACACACATATAAGATATAAACATTATATATAGACATAAATTCTTTTGGTTTCTATTCCTCTAGAGAACCTTGATCAACCCACATGGCAATTTATAAGAACAATTTATTTTCACAGTTTTAGAGAGTTGACATCTTGAATTTTATAAGATTAAAGTACTGATAGTTTTGGGGTTGGACCCACTCTCTGTCCTTAAGCTGATGCCTTGCAGTTTGCATCCTCTAGAGGAAACAGCTTCTGTGTCTTCAGACATTAATCTATTCATGAGGGAGGAATCTTCATTGCCTAATCACCTCCCAGAAACTCTACCTCTTAGCATTGTTACTTTAAGTTTTAACACAAATTTTAGAGGAAACACAAATATTTAAATTGAAGCATGTGGGGCTGGAGAGATTGCTCAGTGGTTAAAAGCACTGACTGCTTTTGCAGAGGACCTGGGTTCGATTCCCAACACAGGTGCACTCACATACGTGTAGGCAATACACTCATAAACATCAAAATAAAAAATAATAAATAAAATATTTTTAAACTGTAGCATGTAGGCTTGATCTATAGCTATTCTACGTGAGACCAATGAATTTCCCAGACACTGAGTTAGTGCCACACAGTCTCCTTTAGAGATTTCATTAAAGGGTAGTAGAAAAGAGAAATTCTCACAGTGAGCACAAGTTCTAGGAGACTACCAGGCTATTAAACTTCGATGGAAAGACAAACAGTCAAACATGTAACTTTATCTCTATACATGGGCTATGACCTACGGTTAACTAGATCATCAGAGAATTGAAGAAACAAAATTTTAAAGTTGGTGACAGGGCAATTTGTATCTCATATAACTACATATCTTTGAGCAGGCAGAAAGCTGAATATATTTATGTTCCAAAGGAAGGACATCTAAGTCTGACCTGAGATGAATAGGTTTTTAGTGATGATGTGGATCATATGACCTGTTCTGTGGTGACTTGGACCATTGTCCCCAAAAAGCACAATTCTACTGGAAGATTGGCAGTTCCTGGTGGAAATAGGAGGGGGTCAGGGGAGCAGATGATCAAGATGCATCGTGTTAATGTATGAAATTGTCAGAGTAAATAAAAGAGACTCCATTAATGTAATAAAATCTATTTTTGATTGATTTACTTTTATCTATATGAGTACTTTGCCTGTGTGTTTATAAATGCACCACATGTGTGCATTTCCTGAATTCCCCATAAGGGTCAGAACAGGATCTCAGCTCCCCTGGAAGAGGAGTAATAGATGGTTGTTAGCTGTCAGGTGCATTCTGAGAACTGATCGCAGGTTTTCAATAAGAGTAGACAGTTCTCCTAGTCTCTGAGCCATAACATGATCAAGGAATTCAACAAATTTAAAACACACACACACACACACACACACACATACACACACAAACAAATCAAAGTACTAAAAGAAGATAGGGATAAACTTTTGAATGAATTCACAAAAGAGAAACATTGAAGAAAACTCGGGATTGCTTTAATGCAATCCCAATCAAAATCCCCATAATTCACAGAATTAGAAAAATACATCCTTAAATTCATACGGAGTCACAAAAGACTCCGGATAGCCAAAGCTACCCTGAGTACAAAGTACCGTGCTGGGTGGATTACTATACCAGATCTCAAAGTATACTACAGAGCTATAGTAACAACAACAGCATGGTACTAGTGCAAAAACAGACACATAGATCCATGGAACATCATTGAAGGTCCAAGCCAACTAGAATGAATGAAGTGGAAAACAGAATATCAACACTGGAGGATAAAGTTGAAGAATTGGACCACTCAAGCAGAGTATGGAAAATTCTATGTTTTTTTAAAACATAGAATGGAACATGCAAGAGATGTGGGACAACATGAAAAGACCAAATTTACAGATCACAGGACTAGAGTAAGGAGAAGAATTTCAGGTTAATGATGAATAGCATGACCAGATCTTCAACAGGATTAAAGAAGGAAATTTTCCTAAATTAAGGAAAGACATACTCATACACACACCAGAGGCTCACGGAACACCAAACAGACAGGATCAGAAAAGAAACTTCCCATAACACATCATAGTAAAAACACTAAATGTACAGAGCCAAGAGAGAATACTGAAAGCAGCAAAAGAAAAACAAGTCACATACAAAGGAAATCCCATCAGAATTACAGCTGACTTATCAATACAAGCTATTAAACCAGAAGAGCCTGGACCAAGGTCTTTCCATTTATATACAATAAATGCCAGCCCAGAATACTATATCCAGCAAAAATGTCTATTCTAGTTGAGGGGGAAAGAAAAATATTCCATGACAAGAACAGCCTGACAGAATACACGTCCATAAAACCAGTTCTTTAAAGAATACTTGAAGCAATACAGAGAGCAGAGAGAGAAAAGAACTATACCCTAGGGGAAACGAAAGAAAATAAAGAAAGGAAACACAGAATTACAAAGAGAACACAAACAGCAATCAAAATGATGGGAACCAATACACATCTTTCAATAGTAACCATAAACATCAATGGACTGAACTCCCCATTCAAAAGACACAGGCTAAGTGAATGGACTAAGAAACAAAATCCACCTCTTTGCTCTCTGCAAGAAACCCATCTCACCTTCAAGGACAGGCACTACCTTAAGATAAAAGGATGGAAAAGAATATTCCAAGCAAATGGCACTAAGAAACAAGCAGGGCTTGTGATTCTAATATCTGACAAAATAGACTTCAAAGTAAAACTAATCAGAAGAGAAAAGGAGGGTAACTTCATTCTGATCAAGGGAACAGTTAACCAAGAAGATATGGCAATCCTTAACATATATGCACCAAACTCTGGTGCACTCAAATTCATAAAAACACTACAGGACTTTAAGACCACAGTTTAATCCCAACTCAGTAATAGTAGGGGATTTTAATATCCCATTGTCTCCATTAGACAGGTCAACTGGACAAAGAACAGACAGAGAGACATCTGAATTAAATGATACCATACATCAAATATACCTAACAGACATCTTTCGATTATTCCACCCAAA